AAAAAAAAAAAAAGAATCAGCTTTATGATTTTAAATGCATGAAAGTGAATAAAGATGAATTTAATTCAGAAAATGAACACAGGGTTTGACTGAGCAGTCAAATAACCATAAATGTCCAGTCAGAGCACATTAATTTCAGTTTTTATTAATAATAATAATAATAATAATAATACATGCCAAGCATTTAACAGAAAATAAAATTTTCTCCTTTGGTCTGATTTTGGAAGAAAATTGTATTAAAAATTGCAAAGGGTAAACATGACAGAAACGGGTAAAAAAAACAAAAACAAACTTGTATATAACGGTGTTTTATTTTGTTTTGTAACTCCCCCTCTGCGCTCGCATGGGAATGCCCCTCATACATGCAGGTGTGTACATGTATGTGTGTGTTTTTGCTCTAAAACAAATAAAGATGTCCGCCGCCAACGTCATGAGGAAGTTCCTGCCATGGAGCAAACGGCAGTAAACAGTGTGAAGACTGAACCAAACATGCTTACTTCTATGAACTAACATGAAGGAAACCTAAAGGTCTTCTTACACAATATGTTGGCTGTAAATAGTGTGTATACGTGTGTGTGTGTGTGTGTGTGTGGAGGAGTCAGCACACCAGTGTGTTGAGCTGTGCAGTACACTGCGTTACATTGGGAAACCTGAGAAATTTCCATCTCATGACGAGTGGGAACCTTAAAAAGCAGAGCTGAGGTTCCCCATGAGGCCAAAGGACATCGATCACTTCCCCCTGAGGTCCATGCCGACAGCACACCGCTCTGTCAGAACCAGAACGCGTCCAGAACCACCAGCAGACTGTGAGTACTATTTTAATCTGTGCTTAATCGTGTCACAGTTACTGTGTGTGTGGTGGCTCTTTTGCTCTTAGAACCAGCTCCAGGAAGACATTCTTGGCTTAAAATAACATTTATTGAAATTCTTTTAATACATTATGTGCACAAATTTATTTTGTTTCTAACCAGATAATGTATATTAACTAGTGTTCAATTGTTACACTCAAGTATTTTCTTTATTTTTTTAAATCCATGTTTATTGTGACTTTTTTTTAGTCTAGTTTAAAAATTATTCAAAATACCCAAATGTTTTTTTCTCTTTTTTTTAGTTTGCAAATGTTTATTTCAGAAATATTAGATTTAAATATATATATATATATATATATATATATATATATATATATATATATATAACTTTGTCAGTAAATAACCTTTAAATAGAAAAAAATGTAACTGACTTATCCAGAACAAAATGTCAAATATCTTAACAACACATGTAAAGGATTTACATACTTCAGTTATTTATCCTTGAACCTTAAACCAATATAATAATAATAATAATATAACCAGGTCTGTACATTTCAGTGATTTATGAACTTATTTGCTGAATAATGTATTTAAATCAAAAATTTAATTTGCATTCTAAAACATCTGAAAATGTCCAATAATAATAATAATAATAATAATAATTTGCTTGATTCTTGAACTGATACTCATCACCTAAAAGACATTCCAGGTGTATTTTAATAAGAAAGCAATGAAATTAAATTTAAATTAAGTTGATGCAGTGTCAGTGTCATGCCCACTATCTTGTAGCGATACTATCAGTCAGCAAAGTTTCCATTTAATGTCACATGAGTCAATGAGTCAGTTACAACATTGCCACTCCTCCAGCCGCTGTGAATGGGCCGACACTCCCACGGCATTCTATGAATGGACTGCGCCGTGACGACACAGAGAAACCAGGAGCTGATCGAGGAAAAAGCACATCATTTCCCTCAGTGTGATATGTGGGATTTTAGTGAGAAAGTGATGACCGCTCTCGGCCGCTCGCTATAACAACCAGCGGGAAAACAGAAGTGAAAATCGGCAAATGATGCTTGTTGATGACTGTCTGCAGCTCAGCCTGGATGTACTGCAGTTAGCTAGATTTGGAAAGCGGTATTCACCTGAAACACACACACACACACAACTTTACCATGTTTTCAGTGATACATCAAAGTATAAGGGAAGAATATTTTCTGGTGCTATCTGATGTTTTTATCACTGTTTTCCTGTTGCATAATCTCGGTGCTCAGCTTTAAACGTTGTCAGTTTTAAGGACTAGTGTTTCAGCTGCTTTCTATGCAGGCCTCTGGGCTCGTCTTTCATTATGAGCGTCTCTGTAAACACGTTTCAGATGGGAAAAAAATGATTTGAAAGATGGTGAACATGGAAATAAGCAGCGATTTTTAAACTGGCTCACTGGGGATGTAACAGCTTGTACGTCTGACAAAATCAGACGGTACAAAACAACGGCAATTTCACTCGACTCTAATCTCTGCATTTTGTAATAAATATTTACGATCACATTAAAATAGAAATGTATGAGGCAGTGTGGTATGTATTTTTACATATTTCTCTTATGTCTGAAATTATCCGTGTATATATAAGTACTTTTTTTTTCATGTGATTCTTTAGTTTCTGATATTTTAAAAAAGCCCATCTAAATCCTCCCCCTGTCTAAACAAATATAATTATTTTTTAAAACAAATTGCATCACAAAAGTATGCGTATATTTATGAATTTAAACGTATGGACTTCCATCAAGATAAAATCTCCAGACTACAAGTTTAAAAAAAAACAATAAAAAATCTGCTAAATTGTCTAGATCAAGTTTGAAATAAAATCAGGAAATCTTGTTTTTCTTAATAAATGTGTGTTGTTGTTTTTTTTTTTTAAATCTGTCATTTCTACTAAATTATGGCGACATTTGGCACAGTGACTCTGAACACACTGACATGACTAATCAAGTGGTGGTATTAGTAAAGTCCTGTGGTTAAATTAAGTGTGGGAAGACCAGCGGAAAAATGGTAATAGTCCTGTGATGTCACAAGTTTACGGCCCATAAAAGAGTAGAAATGAATCCATCTGTCAGAAAGGGGAGAACACCGAGTTATGGCCAGCGTCTGGAGCTCTGAACCCTGATATTTATTTGTCGTGTCTCGTGCTTTAGCTGCATGTTACAGACTTCGCCTTTGCGTTTTCCACGACATCTGACCGAATCCTCGGACCCAAACAGGAGCGCGCCTCGCCTTGTGGATCTCACAGTTCAGGTCTTTGTTTTTCCTGCAGACTGCCACCATGGTCTACTTTACGTTGATGTGCGTCATGATCATTGCCACAGGTGTTCATGGGAAACGTTGGCTTCCTTCTCTGCCGGTGGAAAGCGAGTTTTTTTTTTTTTTTTTTTTTTTTTTTTTTTACTGTACAATAAAAACTACACGGTTGTAAATATTCAATCTGATTTATTTTGCTTTGACCCTAGAGTAGGTTACTTGGACTTTTTTGACCACTGGGCCACATGTGTCCCACTAGGTGTCCTGACCTGTCCTGCATGAAAACTGGCAATTAAACTAACAGATTCACTAAAAGCTTGAATAACTAGGCCTGTCACGATAACACATTTTTCCGGATGATAAATTGTCCCAGCAGTTATTGTGATAACCAATGACATTGTTGCTTTGAGGGCATTTTCGAATAATACAATGGTAATGATGAAGTATTTTTAAAACAATTTGTCCTTCATAAAAAGGGCTAGTTGAGACCAAAGCACCAGACTGGTGGAAAGAGAGAGACGAGAGAAAAATGATAAATCACAAAAATGGAGATTTTTGCGCTTGTTTTAAGTTATCGTGCAATTAATTGATTTATTGTGTATTGTGACAGGCCTGCAAATGACTCAGTTAGTCATATGGAAAAGGATTTGGGTTTAGTTTTAGTTTTTGTGTCCCACGCAGACGGCTGTTACCGAGCGTCTCCAGAGGTGGATATTTTCCGAGTGGAGGGCGAGGCCGTGATCCTCCACTTCCCGATCTTCATGCGGACCCTTGAACTCCGTGACATCGCCCCGCCACCTGCCCAATATGTCATCAGCAGGAACAACGGAACGGAGCAAACGGCGTACGAGGACAAGGGCCGGGTCCAGCAGCACGGCGGAGAGCTGTGGCTCCTCCCGGCTCGGCTTTCAGATTCTGGGAAATACACCTGCACTTACAGGTACTCTTCACTCTTTTAAAAGGAAAAGTTTCCAATCAATCAGTCGAGTTTATTTGCACAGCGCGTTTCAGCAACGAGGCAATTCAAAGTGCCTTACGTCATAAAAACACAAAAAATACAAAGTGAGAAACCAGAGGCAAGCGTTACATTTTGACGAATGAAATCATCAAAACCGTCGATACATTTTCATTTATGTGGTGAACAGAACAGGTGGACTTTTAGCCTTGATTTATTTTATTTTTATTTTTACATATTGACTATTAGTACCTAAGAGGCTTAAGAAATTAAAAGCTTCTAAAATGATTTATGCAAAAATATGCATTTCCTATCATATATAATTTTTTTCTGTCATAGTTTTTTTTTTGGCATCAGATTTAGTAGCTATAAAAACTGGCAGTGCTTTATTATTATTATTATATTGTAATGCTCAGAAGATTGGTGTTGAAAACCCCAGTGTTTTTATTCTTAATCATAATGAAAACACACCTCTTACCAACTGCAGACCAATTTCTTTTAAAGAAACATAAACCTTCAAAACTTCAAAAATGTGCTGTGATGATTGCCCACAGCGTCGTCTTCACTCCATCTGACTCCTTTCCATGCATCTCTGTGCAGGAATGAAACGTTCTGTGTCACTGGGAGCATCACACTGCATGTGTATGAGTCCTATTCTGCAGATGTAAAGGCTCTCTCCTATCCGTGGTCGGCCAAGGTTGGTGAGAACGTGGAGTTTCACTGTCCGGCTCTGGGTCGCTTCAACAAGACAGGCAGACCAATAGAGTGGCACAAGGTGAGGGAATGAACCCTGCAGCTGGGATTATGTGTCTTTTAGATTAAAGCCTGAACTAAAAGTAACAACGTCTTGTTTTGTTTTTTTCTGACAGGACTTTAACTCCGCTCCCCTTCAGCCGGGCAGAGCTACCCTGACGATCCCTGCTGTGAAACTCTCCCACGCTGGAGTCTACACCTGCCGGCTGACGGTGCTCATCAACAACCTGCAGTACAAAGTCAGCAGAGCCTACCTGCTCCACGTGGAAGGTTGGTCCCGTCAGATTTTGTTTATGAATGATCTCAATGGATTCATCCATATTACAGATATACTTTTCACTTACATAACAGTAAATATGAGGGTTTTAAAAAAAGGAATCTCTCTCTCAACCATTCATATTCAGCTATTAAAGGAACGCTACAATCAGGGGCGGAGCCAGAGAGGGATCATTAGGGGGGGCAGTGCCCCCCTTAATGATTAACATGTGCACCAGGTCATTCCTATACATTATTTGGATTCTAAACCAACTTAATATCTAAAGAAGAAAAATAATAATAAATATATAAAGAAAATCTATAAAACTTTATATAGGTCTATGTGATGACGTATATAAATAGATTTATTTCAGGCATGATACCAGCCTCCATTATGGTAATACTCATAAAAACAAGCTGATACTGATCTCCTGGATGTTTCTCTTGTGCTGCGCTGTGGTGCAACTCAAAGGCTAAAGCATTCCTCATACTAGATGGTGATGCTAAAACAACAATAAGTTATTTTCTGATCCTCCACAACAACAACAACAAAAACTGAAGAAGGGAGAGGGGGGCGGCAATGGTTACTTGACCCGCACTCACTTCCTTTGGCGCGGATCAGCTGTGCTAGACGCTCCAAAAACCTCTGGTCCATTAAAGCGTCCAGATCAGATAAATGCTCTGACAGATACTGTTCTTATATTGATTAATAATGAGCTCCGCGATGTTCTCTGTGCGTAAAGTTGAAACTGTCTGTGCACCAAGTGGTCAGTTGCGCTTCATCACTGTCTGGATATGAAACCAGCAAACTGCTCTCTGTTCTATCAAGACGTCTTCAGCTCCATTTGTTAAAATGGACTCCTTTTAACAAAGTTAAGTTTAATTCTTTGCAGTGGTGGAGCCGCGGCCGCATTGGTTGTGCAGCAACTGCGCATGTTATGGTCTAATTAACTTGACCCCCTGCATGTTATTGTTTACCTAAGGAAATTTCACGCATGCCTACAATGCTGGAGGGCAAAAAGACTATTCTTTAACATGTGATGCTTAGCCGCGCCGACGCCGCAGAATAATTCTGTTATCTCAATCAAACTTAGACATGTAGATATTATTAATTTCGTGCTGTGCTTAACAGCAAAGGGAGAAACAACTCAAAACCACGTCTTTCTCGCTCTCTGTATCAACGTAGCTACTGTATGGCTAGCTCGCTGTTACCGTCTCTTACTCTGCAGTTGTACAGTTACAATATCTGGGATCATGAGCGCCCCCCAGCGATGAGGCACCAGAACTGCC